CGATTTTTTTTCACTAGAAATTAACATGATGTATCTAAACTTTGGGTATATTTTTATATTTGAATTTAGGATCTAATGCTAGGATTCTATGGGTTTAGAAATTATTTATTGTTTTGTGCATTTGTAAGAGTTTAAACTCACATATTATATTTTAATACTTCGTAATTTATGTGAATGGTAAAATGTTTTTATGCAGTTATTTTTCTTTATCAAGTTGAGATTGGTTTGTGTTGTCTCTAGTTTATTTTTTGTACAAAATTAATCGTTATGATCTGAATGTGATGAAAAAATAGTTGGGGTATTTATTTAGGCATTCAAAAAGTTGGGGTATTAAAAAGCTTATCGGAATTTAGTTGGAATATTTTTATGGAATTTTTCCTAAAATTTATGGTGTTTGTATTTTTTTTACATTGATAAAGAGAAAGTTACGAGGCAAAATTATTTGTAAAGTAGTAGACATGAAAACATGTTCTCTAAACAAAAAGATAATAGTTAAATCATAGAAGAAATCCAGATATATTTGTCTTATGGTATCCACGTTTATAGTTGATTTTAGCAAATATAAATATAAAAATATAAAAAGCCTAGAAACAAAGAAGAAGAAGGAACAAAAATATGAAGAAAAGATGAAAAATATTAGAAAAAGATGGAAAAAATTGGGAAGAAGTTAGAAAAAATAAAGATAATTAAGAAAAATCAATTTGATGAAAACCAGTAAAGAACCAAAGAGACGTCAATATTAAACAGAAACTTAAACAAAATATTTGTAAGAAAAATTGGTTTTCAAAAGGTTTGTGATGGTTACATAAAAAATCAGAAAACCGAACAATGAAAAAAAATCTTGGGCAAAAGAGATTCGTGATAGAAATACGTAGTTTATGTCACAAACTTACAATAATATAATATTTTTACTTTAAGGCAATCAAACTACTTAGAGATATTAAATTATGATACATTTGATCTAACATGATCTAAATCTAACCAAAATAATAAGTTTGAAATCTAAATAATATTTTAGTATGGTTTTAATGGATTTATTAAATGTATATAAAAACGAAATATATGTAAATTTGAACTTAATTGAGAAAAAAGAAAGAAATCTAAAAAATTAAGATAGAGGTCGGTTATGGGTCTTTTGGCATACGATCATGTGGTCGGTTTTGCATTAATTTAGGTTTTTTTTTGTTATCCAAAACTTACATTCTAAGAAATTTTTGATAAACTTAATTAGTCTATTGAATGAAATGTAAATTAGTTGTCTATCTAATTTATTTTTCTTCTAAACCATTTTTGACAAATTTTAGGTATTAAACTTGGTGTCATCTAACCTAAATGTCATTTTTGGATCTTCTGGAGATTCTATTGTGAAGAATGGGCGTTGAGATTCGATGGAAGTCTCTCTCAAAAGCTCTTGAAGAAGTTCTATGAAACCACACGGTAAATACTAAATGCATTGTGTCTTACAAAACTCGACTCCCAAATTCTTTTGTGTTTTCTAAACCTAATTATTTTAATTTTTGGCAGATCGTAATGTTCTCGACTGAACCATATTTGATCCTAACAAATTCTTTTTCTTTTTACTGAAAGTAGCTTTAAGATTTTTTAAAATGGCTTTTTGGTTCTCTCCTTAAACTTAATTACTATGACTTATATCTATTTTGATAATTTAAATGGCATTCCCGCTTATTATTAAATTACATGCCTTACTCATCTGAATGATTCCTGTTTTTATTTCTATTCTCTGGTCTATTTGCAAGACCGTAGTAATACATGCCTTACTCGGTTTAGTTTACTCATCTATATGGTCTTACAGAGAAAGACTCTAAAGTGCTAAATGATTGTTTTTATTTGAGATAAAATGTAGTACTACTATCACCTTTCTCCCGTGCATCGCGCGGGTAGTTGCCTAGTCATAATTATAAGAAGGAAAATTGGGTTGTGTAACCATAAAAGAAAAATATTTTAAAATCTAGTCAAAACCCCCTATGTGGTAATATTCTAGCCATTGGATCTAGGAGTTTTAGTTAGGTTTTGAAATATAATTTGTTTTTTGGTTATAGAGCTAAATGATCCTAAGAAGAAAAATAATCTTTTTTTTTAGATGGCCCAAGATTTTATATATTAAGTCTAGAAAATTAAAGATTTGCAAACTTTTTTTTTTGTCAAACCTTTTATAAGATTTGCAAACTTATAAAAAAAACATATTAAACTACCGAAAAATCTAGGCTCTT